CAACCCTATGGCCTCAGAGCACATAACTTTTGCACCCGCTGAAGAAATTGTACATGGAACAATTTCTTTCCCCCCCAGCAGGAGTAAAAGCACTGCAGGGATTCTTTTTCTCTCTCTCAGCCAGCAAATGGCAAGGAGGGGGGGGAATGATTAACGTTCCTCTCCCCACCCCTGCTGTTCAGAAGGAAGAAATTGCTACATGCACTCCAGCCCTTCAACAAGCCATTTCCCTGCTGGTGGCTGCTTTTTTTAAATACCAATTTTTTTCAACAGACAAAACAAAACAAAACAAAGAATAAATAAATACACAGAGCAATAGTTCCATATAGGGGATGGCAAGATCTCTCCAGAATCATAAAAACAAATACAAGATAAATTAGAAACATAATGCGGTGGTTGCAAAGCAGATTTCTAGGCACAACAAACCCTTTCCCGCCTGAGAACCTCTCGGTGTTGTAGAGTGTTGTGGCGAATATTATGGGATGCACAATCAGTTTGTGTGGAGCGCTGACCGGGCCTTTTGGAGGAGCTCACCGCCTTCGGAGGTTGCCGAACTCCAGGCGGGGCCTGGAGATATCCTGGAATGACAACTGGTCTCCAGACTACAGAGAAGGAAATGACTGCTTTGGAGGGTGGAATCACAGTATTATACGCGGCTCAAGTGGTTAAGACGCTGAACTGCAGGCTGTGGAAGGTCAGTAGTTCAGCAGTTCGAGACCCAGGTGCCGCATGACGGAGTGAGCTCCCGTCTCTAGTTCCAGCTCCTGCCAACCTAGCAGTTTGAAAGCAAGAAATTGCAAGTAGATAAATAGGGACCACTTCGGTGGGAAGGTTCCGTGCGCCTTGGTGTTTAGTCACGCCGGCCACATGACCACGGCAAAATCTTCGGACAGCGCTGGCTTTTCGGCTTGGAAACGGAGATGAGCACCACAGCCCTAGAGTCGGACTCGACTGGCTTTCGAGCAAGGGAACCTTTACCTTTACCTTTAAGCCATTTTGGACCTGCATTAGGGAGCAAGGTGGGGCATACATATCTGAATAAATTTGGACCACTGCAGGTTTGTGCACCGTCAAACACTAGTGCTGTATGCAGAACGGCAGCTATTTCTTCAATGCAGATGCTTCGATCACATTCCTTCTTTTATTCTCTGCCCTTCTCGTCGATGGTGCAAAGTGCCGTCAAGGCGCAGCTGTCTTATGGTGACCCCCAAGGGATTTTGAGGCAAGAGACGTTCAGAGGTGGCTGGCCATTGCCTGCCTCTGCGTAGCAACCCTGGGCTTCCTTGGTGGTCTCCCATCCAAGTCCTAACCAGGGCCGATCCTGCTTAGCTTCTGAGATCTGATGAGATTGGGCTAGCCTGGGCCATCCAGGTCAGGACGGTGACCCCCCCCCCCCAGGGCGGTGGTGGTGAACCTATGGCACGGGGGCCAGAGGTGGCACTCAGAGCCCTCTCTGTGGGCACACGTGCCATTGCCCCAGCCAGGCCCAGACCATCATTAAAGTGTCGAATTCTCTGCCAGATAACTTTAAGTAAATGAAAGCATTTGCTTTCCTTCCTTTGTTTGGATCATCTTAAGTTAATGTATGAGTTGTTTTTTCTAAAGTGAAACCTCAGTATTCAGGTTAGATTGCCGTGTTGGCACTTTGCAATCAATAAGTGGGTTTTGGATTGCAGTTTGGGCACTCGGTCTCTAAAAGGTTCGCCATCACTGCCCTAGGGTTTTCGAGGCATGAGATGTTCAGAGAGGTGGCTGGCCGTTGCCTGCCTCTGCATACCAGCCCTGGGGTTCCTCGGTGGTCTCCCATCCCAATACTAACCAGGGCCGACTCTGCTTAGCTTCCCAGACCTGGCACGATTGGGCTAGCATGGATCATTCAAGCAACACTCAAGCTCATTTTTGAAGGGTGAACGTAGAACCTTTTTTTGATCAAGTGCCATTTGCAGTGAAACATGAGAAACGGCCAACTCCACCACTGGATCCACCCATCCATTTCCATCACACCCGTCCTCCAAGGAGATCAGAGCTGTGGAGATAGCTCACACACACACGTTTTATCCTCACAACCCTGGGAGGTAAACAATGCTCCCTCTAAGCTGTGGAGTCCTGTGAGCAAAAATTCTACTTTGTGAAATACTGGCATTAAGGTTCTGAGTGAGTGATTTGGCCACTGCATGAATTAGTTTGCTCTGGAGCTGTCTTTCCTGAGCCAAGACAAAAATCCGTGCGCCAGAGGCTAAAAAACTGTGGGCTGGCTCACACTAACTCAGCTTAGCGGGAACAGTGGAGGTAAATTATCCTCAGAGTGGGTGACTTGCCCAAAGTAATTCAGGGAGCTTCATGGCAGACTGAGGATTTGAACCCGGGTCCTGGTCTGACACAGTTAAAAGATCAGACCACAAACATTACTGCCCAGGGGTCATTTCGTAGAAAAAGAGGTGCAGGAGCTCATTAGCATAACTTATTTGCATATGCCACACCCCCTGACATCACCGGAAGTGCCAGAAGGCAACACCCACCGCTCAGGCTCCACTGGACTGTTTTGGATTGCTATCTATTGGGGGGGGGGAACATGCAGATCTGTCCTCGCAGAGGAGGGAGAGCTTGTACCTGAATAAAGGTGCCACTGGACTGTTTTGGACCAGGGGGCGGCGGCAGGGGGGCTCTGCAACTTACCTGGCTGCTTCTTGCTCTGACTGTGGGCTGCGGGGAGCAGGGGGTGGGGCTTGTTGCATGTGCCCGCCCCCTGGGCTCTTTACTGCCAGAGCTCCGCTCCTGTGCGCTCCCGCAGGATATGACCCCTGTTACTGTCTAAACTGGTTGCTCACGGCAAAATTAACACTCTTGCCATACTTATCTCTGCTGCCCATTCACGTGGGGCTGACCTCAGGCCAGGAAACAATATAATGAGTGAATTGGTCCCACACATTTTTGGAACTATGAGAGGCTATGGGAATAGGGTTGCCAGCTCCTGCTTGGGAAATACCTGGAGGTTTTGGGGGTGGACCCTGAGGAGGGCAGGGTTTGGGGAGGGGCTTCATTGGGATATAAATGCCATAGAGCCCACCCTCCAAAGCACCCATTTTCTCCAGGGGAACTGATCTCTGTCGTCTGGAAATCAGTTGTAATCCTGGGAAATCTCCAGGCCACAATGGGAGGTTGGCAACTCTATGGGCAAGAAAGAGGGGGAACAGCTGCAGAGAAATAATTTTTCTGAGAAAATGTTCTAACTAGAGGAATCTTGCAGTCAGATATAATGCGCCTGAAGCCACTAGATGGTAGTATATTGCAACGGAACTGGGCTTTCTCCTGTGAGCCCACTGCCATCCTCATTGTGAAAAGTGCATTTAAATTAAACGTTCCTGTTCTCTTCCCCCACCCCATTCCCATTCACCCCATGGCCTAGCTCCTTAAATAACATGAGCATTTATTTTTTATTATTTATTTATGTATTAATTTTGGCTCGTATTCCACCCTCCCTGCAAGCGGGCTCGGAGCAGATGGCAACAGCGAAACCACAATAGGCGTTAACAGAGGTCATTTCGGGGGGGATTGCGGGGGATCGCAGTTCCCCCGGGTGAGGTACGGGGGGCGTGGCACATGATGAAGCCCCGCCCCCTGCTTCTGGCCGCCCTGCTTCCGGCCCTCATTCAGCCAGGAGGAGGCAGGAGAAGAGGGAGGGTAAGTTGCTTCCTCCCTGCCTCTCCCCACCCCTGCCTGCCTGGGGCCAGGGAGGGCCTTTGCGGGGCTTCCTCGCACTCCCGCCGGCCTTGCAGGTCCACCGCCAGGCCCCTCATGAACCTCAGCAGTGGAGCTGCAAGGCCGGCAGCGGCCAGGACCGTTGGGGGTGGTGTGTGTGGCCTTATGACACACTTCCGGTGATGCCAGGGGGTGTGGCATATGCTAATGAGTTATGCTAATGAGTTCCCCTAGCTCTTTTTCTACGAAACGGCCCCTGGGCGTTAACACATTTCACAATAGCCATTTCAAAATAGTTAAAACAGTTAAAAACAAAGGCACAAATTAAAGACAGCACTGCCGTTTAAGATAATAATCTTC